TCGTGGCCGCCTGTTTCGCAGATCTCGCACCAGAGGAGGCTGCTGTTGGCGGAGGAGCGGCCGTCGGACTCTGGCATTACGGAGAGCGCGGGGGGCGCATCGCGGCGGGTTTGCTGTGGTGGTTCGCGCCAGTTTACGACGGTGTCTTTTGAGTCGCGCTCTGAGGGCTTTTCTTGGGTCGCCGTGTGTTCCGACAGGCCGTTGCTGATGACGCTTTCGCGTTGCTCTGCGAGGCCGAGCTGCCTCTTTAGCTTCTCTAGCTCACGTTCTAGCTCTTCTTCCCTGTAGGCCTTGCGTTCTACAAGACCGCGAAGTTCCTCCTTCTCGCGCTCGAGACGTTCTGCGTTTGCTTTGGCGCTCTGGAGCTCTTCAGCGTCGACATTGGACGCTTGTCGTGATAGTGGTGAGCGGACACGGTCATCTCCTCCACCAGAGCTCAAGGAGTGGATGATGGCCTTGAGACCTCGAATCTCGTCATCGCGCTGCTCGACTTCTCTTTGCCCTGGTGTGTGGGGTGCGTCGACCATTGCACCGGCCCCCTTCAGAGCAGCAGCGGCCTTTTCGCGTTCGCGACGGAGTTCAGATCTGCCTCGCTCGACTTCGCCCCGCAAGAATTCGACTTCTCCTCGGGCCTCAGCTTCGCCTCTCCGTGCATCCTCCAGACCTTCTTCTAACTCTTGGACAAGCTCTTCTAGTTGTTTCAACTGCATCGCTACAGTCTCGACGTCTTCGCTGCGGGACGCATATTCCCGTAGCTCTTCTTGTAACTCTTCCACCTTCTTTTCGTATACGCGCTCTGTTTCGGTGCTGGCCAGCTCTAGGGTATCGATGGTACTTCGGAAATCGGATCGATGTGCGTCGAACTCGGACGTGAGCATGGCGATCTTATCGTTCTTCTCCCTAAGAAGTGCTCGTAGTTGCGCTACATCAGTAGGCTCGCTGCTGCCGTGCGCCGAGCCCATATCTAACCCGTCTTCTGGTATCAGGCTTTGAATCTCTGACAGACTCGCTTCCATTTCGCTCAGCGACGCAGCCTGCTCCTTGAGCTGCTTCTCGCGTTCGTCCAGGAGCGCCTGAAGCCGCTGTACTTCTTCGTTTGGTTGAGAGCCGAGGCGCGAACCAGGTCTCTTATACTTGTAACTTGCCATGGAGTCATTGCTAGTCCGCGCTGCGCCGACTGGGGTTGTCTCATTGTCCTCGTCGATGGTGTCTTGGTGGCCGAGACGGGAACTGCTTCGCGAGTAGGGTCGTTGCGGACCAGGTGTGCGTGGCTTCTGTGGGAGAGGGGCTCTGGGTGCAGGGCTGGCATAACGAGGAGGCGCTGGACTTGCGAATCGTGGGGGTGCGCCGATTGCGCTCTTGGAGAAGCCAGAAGGTGTAAGGCCGCCGCTCCTTCCCGGTGTTGGACCGGTACCAAGGCTGCCTTTTCGGAGAGGAGACTCGGGTCTGTATGATGGTCTGGCTTGGGGCGGCCGCTTGGGACTAGGCGCGCGGGCTCCGGGCCCGACAGACTGTGAGAACTGTGGCTTTGGCATCGAGGGGGTATTAGGGCTGAAGCTCGGCTTCTCCATAGTGGAGAGACTGAAGTTGTTGTGGTATGAAGGCGTGGTCGGCTCAGGTGCGAAGTCCGACGAGTCGGCCGAGACTCGTTTCTGAGCGCGATGTACTGGCAGGAAGATGCCAGAGCCGGGAACAGACGTATCGAAGTACTGTGTGCTGTAGCCAAGTCAGTATGCGCGCCTACATATCGAGTGTTGTGTGTGCGTACCCATCGACAGCGCCATCGTTCTTGCCCCGCGCTGCATACTCCCTGTTCAGTTCGACGCCCGCGAAGACGCCCTGCTTGCCCCGGATGCTGCCAACAAACTTGACGACGCCGACCATGCCGCCGGGGACGTCGACCGTGTCGCCGACATCAATATCTTTTCCGTCTGCGCCCATCCTGTTCGATGGCGAGCCTCCAGCGCCAACTAATGCGGATAGCGATGCTTGCCGTGCGATGTTGCGGCTGGCGTTCAGCGAGAGATTGGGCGAGGATGCAGTGGGGTGGAGTGCAGGGCGCGCTCCAAGACGCCTGGGAGTGTGCGGGTAGGCCATACCGGACGGCTCGTTGACAGGGTCGACCTGTTTGGAGTAGCACAGGGCAGGTTGGACGGTGTTTGTTTTGATGCGATGGTACCACAGGGGTTGGACTGCCAACGTAGCGGCGACTGACGAGCATGATTAATTAACCGATCGCTACCCAATCCATCTGCACCAGAACGTCAGGGGAAACCTCCCTCCTTTTCTACGCGCAGCCCCTCTTTTCACTTCAACGCTGCTTCGAATAACATCTCACCTTCTCGACGTCGCAACTGAAATGCAGCAGTATGTCATACAAGCTGTGGGTACGCGACGGTAGCGCGCAGATCCTTGTGCATTGGGACCGACAAAAAGCAATGAATTCCGTACCAATGACAGCATGCAGCCGTCCTATGCCTCGCGACAAACGGTCCTTCATCTGCGTATACTAGACAATGCTACTGCTTGTTTGAAGCATAGGGGGTTTCGCAACATGTGAATTGACTTTCCCATATTCGGCTGCTCGAACTATTGGACTATGCTAGTATCACCAGTCATTATTGAAGATACTATTGATATCCCAAAGCCCGCCGACGCCACAAAAGCACGATCAAGTCGCGTACTTAGTCTCCGATGACCAAACCATGTCCTTGCTTTATCGACGCGAAGAGACCAAGCCCTGCATAAGCAGTGAACGCAAACGCGTGGGCACGTGAGGAGGAGCGGGAGCGGGGGAGGCAGTCAGATTCCCGGCTGCCCCCCGATCGCTTGCTAGAGGCCTGGGATACCCAACACGTATGAATACATGAAAGCTCTTTGGTATTGTGCTGGAACGAGCAGTTTCAAGGTTGCAATCAGCCTGACGCTCCCATATCTACTTGAACTATAGATGTGGTAAACACATGGATTCAGTCATCAAGACTGCGTATCTAGTCACTACATGGAAAACAGCAGCACCCCAACAACATACATCTGCAGTCTTCTTCACGAACACTTCAAACTCCAAAAGGTGTAAAATCCCATCAGCATCGACTCAGCTACCCGCGGAGTGGCCGCAGTTCCCGACTCGCCGACCGAGCGCCTTTCCCCATGTTCCACAATTGCCTCGGCTCACGCCTCGGTGATGGTCAACCGCGCCAACTACATCACTGCTCGCGCGCCCACACCATGTTTACTCAACAGCCGCTCTCACCATGGCTGGCAACGTGCGACAACCAATCGACATTGCGTCGCTAGAGCGCTACATCACCGCCAATGTGCCCGAGATCAAGGTCCCGCTGGATGTCAAGCAGGTACGCTGTTCGAAGTCCGGGAGAGATGGGCGTGTTCGCTCGAGATGAAAGCTAACAGTTAAAAGTTCGGTTATGGACAGTCGAATCCGACGTACCAGTTGACGGATAAAGATGGCAAGAAATATGTTATGAGGAAGAAGCCCCCGGGTCAACTGCTGTCAAAGGTATGCTGAGGCTCTCCATTTGAGAAAGTCGATCATCAAAACTAACACGAGGTTTTGTAGACTGCGCACAGAGTCGACCGCGAGTACAGAATCATCCACGCACTCGAAAAGACCGATGTTCCCATCCCGCGCGCACTATGTCTTTGCCAGGACCAAGACGTTATTGGCACCGACTTCTACATCATGGACTTCCTCGACGGGCGTATCTTCGAAGATCCCGCGATTCCAGGCGTAACAGCCGAAGAACGGACCAAGATGTATGATCTCTCAACATCATTTGAGAATCGACGATGGCACTAATGCAAAATCTCCAGGTGGCACTCTGCCATAACCACGCTCGCGAAATTCCATCGCGTGTCCCCTGCTTCCGTAAACCTCGCCTCCTACGGCAAGAGCTCTGGCTTCTACAACCGCCAAATTGCAACCTTCGACACCATCTCCAAATCGCAAGGCGCAGCTAAAGACAAAGAGACTGGGGAGCCAGTAGGCAAGATACCGCATCAAGACGACATGGTAGCTTTCTTCAAAGACCCAAAGACGCAGCCCAAAGACCGCGCAACCTTTGTCCACGGCGACTACAAGATCGACAACGTCGTTTTCCACAAGACAGAACCTAGAGTGATCGGCATCCTGGACTGGGAAATGAGCACGATCGGCCACCCGCTGTCTGATCTGAACAACGTTCTCGCGCCCTACGTGACAGCATCGGATGAAACTGCCATGTCTATTGGGCGCGCGCACAAGGGTTTCCAACCCGGGGCTACACCTGGTCTGCCTACCCGCGAGCAACTGATTGCGTGGTACTCTGAAGTTGCAGGCTGGGATCCGCGACCAGACTTTGTTTGGGGCGACGCTTTCAGTACGTACAGGAGCGCCATTATCATGCAGGGAATTGCGGCACGGTATGCGTTGAGACAGGCGAGTAGCGAGCAGGCGCAGTCGTATGGGGCTATGATGAAGCCTTATGCGGAGATTGCATGGGGTCTTGTGCAGAAGATCAACAGAGGGGAGAAAGCGAAGCTATAGCGTTCTGATCTGTGTAGACTATTCGTCAGTAAATCATATTTTAAATGCACTTGAATTCTTCTTTGAAAATCGTGATTTGGAGCTGTAAAGGTGGTTTGTTGATTCTCTGACTCTGAAGATAGTAATGGCCGGGCGCCGTTGCACTTTTCTCTACCAGATTCTTTTATCGAGATCCAAGCCTCTCCTTGCCCAATTTGCCCAGCTGGTATCATATGGGTACAGTATCGTCCTGTAGATATGAAAATGTCAACATAAATGTTCCGCAAATTTCCTCCGTGATGGTGATGCTCTGGATGGGTAGGCGTAAAAAGGGGCCCGGTGAGGCATACCCGTGAATGTCCGCGCCTCAAACGCCCATGCGCCTTATAATGCCCGGATTCTGTCCATCTGCCTAGCTCTTGCTCTCTTTCGATGTACCACGGGCGCTGTGTTACTCGTCGCTTGCGCGTTTGATTCTCTATCGTCCGATCTTGGGTACGTCCTGGTTGATGCGGTCGAGCGCCTGCGACTTAGTTAGCTTTGATTTCTTGCCTCTCAGGATATGGGATTCCGTACTTCAAGCATGACCACGGCATTTCCTCTGATGACGACCATGCCGATGCGCACCTTCTCGCCGCCAGCCTTCTCTTCCAGCGCTTCGTCAAGTACAATGTTTAGGTAGACCTGCGGTGTGTTAGCTCGATCCAGAGGTGACAGGGAAAGAGTACATACGTCGTATCCGCGGAGGATACCCATGACTTTGCGGCTGCCATTGAGCTGGACGAGAACGCGCTTCTCGAGGTACTTTACAAGGTTAGGTTCTGGAAGCTTGCGTCGGCGTTGTTCACTCACCTTCTTGAGTTCTGGCTGTGCTTGAGGCATCTTGGCGGTAGTAGACTGTTTTGAGTTTGAATGTGGCGGTTCGGGTCCTGGTGACGGCTTCGGGTGGCTTCGCTCGTGTGGGTCGGTCGTGAGCTGGAGACGCGCGTGGTGTTCACGAGCAAGAGCAGCGCTGCGCATGGTGGGATAGCTCCGTGGATTTTGCGGAGGGCCCGTGCGTAGGCGGCAGCCACGACATGTGCGCGCGCATGCTATCTTCTGCTCTACTACTCAACATCCCTTTCTGACAAAGGAACTTTTAACACAAACATCCTCACGATGAAGCGATCCGGTTCCAACCGCGTTGCACGCAAGATTGGCAGCTACGACGACGACGCATCCACCGACAGCGCAAACAACTCGCCGAGCGAAGTACAGAAGCCCACAGGTCAGTCACCAATTGTCGCGATTGCCAGCCTTTCTGACGTTGGGGAAACTCACAGCGAATCTCTCCAGGCCTTGTTGAAAGCTGGCGACTTAGGTGGCTCCGTACTAACTGGCCGTGTAGTCGTCAAGCGGCCAACGATTGGTAAAGCAAAGAAGCGTTCTTCCCTACGAGTGTCTTTTGGCCCAGGCGAAGACGCGAACGATGGCGACGACTCGAGCGACACAGCCGTCGTGACTCCGAAGAAGGCAAACCTCAGTCGCATAGCCCTGGAGAAGAGTGCGCAACTGCGGGCGCGCTCACCCCTCGTGCCTGAAGCCGCCCGCCCGACCGAATACAGCAAGGACTATATAGCAGAGCTCCGAAATTCGACGCCGTCAACACCCCGCGACCTGAATACGTCCGCTGAAGATGAAGAGGAGACGCAGGCCCTAGATATCGCATCGAAATTCGGTCCTGTCGCATCGCTAGAGACGTCATCTGCGATCCCCACAGAAGCCGAGATTCGCGAGAAGAAGGCGCGGAGACGTCGTTTGGCGCATGAGGAGAACGCCCTCGACGACGAAGACCGCGCGTGGGCATCCGATGACCAGGGAGAAGACGAGTTCAGACAGCACAGGAACGAGATTTCCCTTCGACCAAAAGACAAGTACGGAGAAACGCGTCTCATACACGAAGATGAGGACATAGCCGAAGGTTTTGACGATTTTGTCGAAGATGGCAAGATTTCGCTTGGTCGCAAGTCAGAGAAGGAAGCGCGGCGAAGACGGCGCGCGGAAATGGCAGAACTCATCAACGACGCCGAAGGCGGTTCAGGCGACGACGGGACGGAAGACTCAGACGAAGAGAGGAATACCGCTTTCGCCGCAGCTCAAGCCCGCGCAGGACGATACGGCCAGAAGATCGAAGATGAGGAAGACGGCACAAAGACTCCACCGCGCATTACGCCCCTGCCAGACCTAGACGAAGTCCTAGAAGGTCTCACGATCGATATACAGACGAAGCAGCAGAGGAAGAACTTGATCCTGCAGAAACTACAAGACCTAAAGGACGACAAGGTTAGAATTGAGGAGCGCAAGAAGTACCTCCAGGAACAACTGCAGAAGACAGGCGACGAGTACGAAAAGCTGCGCCAGGAGTCAGGGCTTCCTGCGTTGCCCGCAAATGGCGTTGAAGGAGGCCGCTTGATCACAGAGAGAGGGTTGGACAGTCTGGGTACTACGCCTTTGGCGGGTACTACACCCGTAGCTGGTAGATCTAGCGACGACTCGGATGATGAGTAGCGTTTGTTAGAATTGGAGTATCTACCTCCAGCATGGAAATGCTGAGCCAGTCGTATAGTAATACTATGAACATCCTCCATGAATGTGTATGAACGCTCCCGTAACGCCTGAATTCCGCATTCGTATAATACAAGAGCCTAAAAGCTCAACGTTGATCGTATCCGTAAACTCCCATTGGTATGCAATATCTCCTCCATGCCCGTGACAGACCCCGCGCATGCTCATTTGTTCTCATCCAACTCCTTCCATACCTTCTGTATCTTCTCCCTCTTCTCCTTGGCCGCCTCGCGATTCTGCTTCGTCCGCTCGAGTCGCAGGCCGCGCAGGCACATGTTGACTTTGTATTTCGCGTCGGTGCAATTCCCGGTTACTTTCCAGATGAAGCCGCGGTTATGGCATTCTTCTAGCGCTGCGACGACGTCTGCGCAGTCTATTCCGTGGATGTTAGAAGGTGTGCGCTGTGGGCTGCGTGGAGGGGGAGGGGTGGCGCACTCTTTTGGACTTCTTCGGTGTGGAGATGGGGATGCATTGTGGATTTGCGCGGGGTTTGGTGATTGGGAGGGTAGACGGTGCGAGGTTTTGGAGACTTGGAGGAGAGGGTGGTGTTGCTGGGCTCGATCGGACGGGTACTTGGAGATGTTGAAGTTGCCGACGAATCGAATCGTTGAAGATCTCGTGAACTGCGTCCGAGCGCGCGCCTTCACTCGGAGCCACTTTGTGTCGAACGCGTGAAGACTCGCGAGACTTTTAGAAATTACTCGGCCACTTCCATTCTCTGTTCCCTATCCAAGATCAGCGACTATCCGACTTCGTACCTACATAGTACGCATAGAATCAAGAATCTTCTCTCCCCCGAGTTCCCCGCAACCACCGCCGACTCCTCACCACCGGGCACACGTCAAAAAGTCATATCGTCAGTATGGCATCCCAGCAGCAGCTGAAGAAGCAACAAGGTCAGTGATCCTATTGATCGATCTTTTTCGCCATCGCTGAACCAATATAGAGCTACAGACGACATATCAAAACTACAAGGTAAGAACGGTTCACACAGGCGTGAATGCTTAACTGACCTTTTCGAAGAATACACTTCAAACAATTGCCTCAAAGATTGGCGACATCGAGCAAGAGACAGAAGAGCACAAGTAAGTTGCATAACACCATCACTACGAAGCCACACCCGGCGATCGTTCAAACCTTCCCACACCGCTCGTCCCTTGCATCAGCCTTGCATTGCTCCATGACTTGATAGTTCCAATATCTCACACCGCTTCATGTTCCCATTACAACACAATCAATCCTGACAGATACCAGACTCGTATTGGAGACGTTGCAACCATTGTCAGGAGACCGGAAATGCTTCCGTATGATCAACGGTGTCTTGACCGAGCGAACGGTCAAGGACGTTGTGCCGATCCTGCAGACCAACTCGGATGGTCTTAAGCAGGCTCTGGAAGAGCTAGTCAAGCAGTACAAGTTGAAGCAAGATGAGATGGAGAAGTGGAAGGTACGTCATCAGTTGCACTTGAATCTCACACAGCGTTGACCCCGGCTTCTATTTCGATATCGAGTAACTAACTTCCCTTACAGAAGAAGAACAATGTCCAAGTTGTCCAACAGCCAGGGCAGTAGAAGATACCAGTGATGCAGCAACCCTTTGACAGGATGGGCACACGGCATATGCTGGGAGCCACATGAGATGACGCAGACGAGTACGGCAGCGATATCTCCGGTGACTGGAAATGGGGTAGATGGATCGGGACCCTGGCAAAGGGTTCTGCGTATTCCGAGACGGAGTATATAGACGTAATAGGGTCTCTCCGGTTTCCGATATTTGCACAGCAGGCCAGGCCACGACAGAACAGCACAGCCTCTTGATGACAACGAAAGGCTTACCAGTGAATGAGTCCTATATCGATCGTGTACTATACCTCCCACAAATTACGAGAATCTTGCAATGTCACCATTGAACAAGCCACGACAGACCCGGGTCGCTGGGCTTTCAGCTACCATCCCACCAATGATGCCGCACATGCAGCCTGAAAGACCCCATAAGCTCGCAACTACGTATGTGTCTACATGAAGTGACTGATTCAGGACTGCACCGTTGTCCCGGCACGTGCTCCCAACCCCAGGGGTCTCTGCAAGATGCGTTGTCCAGTCGGCTCCCACTTAAAGCAACGCACTGATCTGCACCATCTCACCCATGAAAACGGACACGTAGCTCATAGGCTACCAGCAAAGTCTTCACAGAGAATGACGAACGGTCCGGGGGTCGAGTCGTTAGTGGCTGACTTGAACGTCATCTCGTGTTGGCTTAGTGAAGCTGGAGCAAGGCTGTATGCAATATGCGCGAGCGCCCAACGAACAGCGAAGACTACTGACGTCGACGACGGCCTGGGATGATGCTAGAAGAGGCTTGGACAACACACGTTCTCGCTGGATGTCATCCGTGGCTGCAGTGGTGAAGACGCGGCAGAGATATGGACGTGGGGTGGTGTTGGTAGGGCTGCCGAATGAGCTGCTGATGCGACTCGCATACAGGATCGCCAGCTAGCTCGAGGAGTCTGCAGTAGTAGGCCAGGTTCCGAACAGACGGTATGCCGGTGCTATGACCGGTCCGAATATCGAAGGACATGCACGGTATTGTAGGAAGCTGCGCGTTGGAAAGCGAATTCGGGGCGCAATGTTGCTGGGCATGATGTGAGAGAAGCTGGTTCGGCACGGGCCGGGATTGGTGCGGGCGGCCGAATTTCTCTTCGTTCTCACCATTCGATTCGCCCATCGAGGTAAATCCCCAATCCACCATCTCTCCGCGCACCAACGCTATCGCGCGTCCAAGCTCCATCCTCCCCCATCTTCTCCTCGCGCTCCTATTGGCAGGCGCGTCGTCAACTGCTCCAACGTCGCGACGTCAAGTCTCGATTGACAACTGCCACGCCTAACTGCGCCCGAATAACGCCCTGATTCAAGCCGGTCCGCCTGCATATCGTCCCACCGCTACTCGCAAGACACGGTCTGTGAATCGCCAGTGTCGCACGCGGTATCGTGCCCGCCGCCCGTAGCACACCAACTCCACCGTGTGTCGCGACTGCCCCGATCGCGGTCGCGCCTGCCACTGTCGCAAAGCGCCCCTGCCAGCTCCATCGTGGGTGCGACGCCAGCATCGCAGGTAGCCCTAGGCGTCACCACGAGCCGTAGTTCACTCGACGCTCCTTTGCGCCGTGCTCTCCGCTGTCGCAGCTCCCCACGTACGTTAGCTGCATCCCAAGCTGGCCGCTGCATGCCACTAACCGCTTCCTTCGCCAGGCCTCTCGTTACACCACTGACCGCAGGTT